GTAGGGGTTAGAGGGTAGGGGTTAGAGGGTAGGGGTTAAAGGGTAGGGGTTAGAGGGTATGGGGTAGATTTAGCCCATTCATAGACGCTAATTACAGTTATTGTCTATTCATGAAGGTATCTTTTGGCTGGGGAGTTTTTTTAAGAGCCCCGACGCTCGTGCTGAACGTTAACATTCATTGCTTGCAGTATGGTTTTGGAAACATAAGGAACGTATCTTTCATATTAGCCATATTTCCATGTTACATCGCTTGTTTACGGAAAACAGACGGAAGACAGAGGCGACTACCTGTGCTAATTAGCTATCTGTGTCTCCGAACACCTGTGTGTAAACGGAAGACTGACACCACAATCGTGTTGTCACTGAAAAATACTGTCGGTGGCAACTCTGTTAAAACTGGTTAAATCAGTGTCTTGACGTGACTTACTTTAATGTATTGACTGTTATTTGTCGAATCACCTAACTTTGTTTAATTGTCACTCGATTCAATTAATCATGTAAAAATTAACTCATATGGAATTTGGGGCACTACGGAAGAAGCTGTTTAACGAGTTACCATCTCCCGAATTAAACTCTTAGAAGATATATGTTATATATCGATAACAGTCACTTATTAAATAATTACCTCTTATCAGTCTCATTCTGAACGTCGCATAATCCTTGAACCTGCAAGAACCCTAACCTTATTGATGAATCAGCAATACACAAATTGGCTTAATTATTTATTTACTAACTAACTAGGCCCCTTACACTTCAGTGTTGTGATGCAAAAATTATAGCAAAATGTATAGCGCATAGAATTAAAAAGGTATTGTCTGACATTATTCATTCTAATCAGACAGGTTTTTTACATGGACGATACATTGGAGATAATATAAGGCAAGTACTGGAAACAATAGAACACTATGAAACATCTAGGCATCTATTCATAGCAGACTTTGAAAAGGCATTTGATAAAGTACGACTGGAGTTTATATATAAATACCTGGAGCATTTCAATTTTGGAGAATCTCTTATGAAATGGGTTAAAATCATGTATAGTAACCCTAGGTGTAAAATAGTAAATAATACCAATTTCTCAGAAAGTTTTAAACTGTCAAGAGGAGTAAAACAAGGTTGTCCACTATCGGCATATCTATTTATTAGGGCCATCGAAATGTTATCTATTAAAATCAGATCCAACATTTGTGGAAAAATCACCCTGATTAACTCTTTAGTATTATCCCAGTTTACCTATTTGCTTAAGGTCTTGCCTACGCCTAGCGAACAGTTTTTTAAATTATATGAGAAAAGAATATTCAATTTTATTTGAAACAGCAAGCCAGACAAAATTAAACGGGCCTATTTATATAATTCATATGAATTCGGAGGACATAAATTATTAAATATTAAAGCATTAGACCTATCACTAAAAGCTTCAGTCATACAAAAGTTATACTTAAATCCGAACTGGTTCTCTAGCAAATTAGTAAGATTGTCTCACCCCATAGAAAGGTAAAGACCTGTCTATTTGTGGAAAAATCACCCTGATTAACTCTTTAGTATTATCCCAGTTTACCTATTTGCTTATGGTCTTGCCTACACCTAGCGAACAGCTTTTTAAATTATATGAGAAAATAATATTCCATTTTATTTGGAACGGCAAGCCAGACAAAATTAAACTGGCCTATTTATATAATTAATATGAATTCGGAGGACAGAAATTCTAAAATATTAAAGCATTAGACCTATCACTAAAAGCTTCAGTCATACAAAAGTTATACATCAATCCGAAGTGGTTCTCTAGCAAATTAGTAAGATTGTCTCACCCCATGTTCAAGAATGGCCTTTTCCCCTTTATTCAGATTACAACCTCTCATTTTCAGTTATTTGAAAAGGAAATAATCTCCCAAATATCACTATTTCTAAAACAAGCTATAGAAAGTTGGTTGCAAATTTCAATGTAATCCTCCAGAAACGACAGAACAAATAATGCAACAAATATTGTGGTTAAACTCAAATATACTAATTGATAAAAAAAACTTTTTTTTTTATTCTTTTGGATTTTCTTCGTAAATTATATCAGAGGTAGGACTGGTGGAGTTATGTTGCACATGCAGCTAACAAAAACATTTGGAAATGTCTGCTCTACCCAAAATTACAACCAAATAATTGCAGCATTACCGCAAAAATGGAAGAGGAAGAGGAAAGTGGAAGGGGGGAAAAGTAAGGAACTTGTCTGTCGGCCCTGCATTAAAGAACATAATTGGTTAAAGAAAATTGTGATAAATAAAAAAGTATACCAGTTTCATTTAAGGACCAAAGGATTGACAGCCGTTCCATATAGTTGGGAAGAGATTTTTGACGTACCGATTCCATGGCATGTTTATGAACTGATATGCAAAATGACGCCGGTTTCAAAACTTAGAATTTTTCAATTTAAATTATTATACAAAATTCTTGCTACCAATAGAATGTTATTTATATGGGGGATACAATCTTCCCAGCTCTGCAGATTTTGCTGCGAAGAGACAGAATCATTAGATCATTTGTTTTGGTACTGTCCATTTGTAGCTTGTTTTTTGTCACAGGTCCAGGAATGACTGAAGGATTGCAATATTTACCTGGAGCGAACCCTGCAGATAGCACTACTGGGTGATCTGAAAAGTCATAGTCAATCAAGCAATAATATAATGATACTTTTAGCAAAAATGTTTATTTTCTATTTATAATCTGTAGAAACAATGAGAATAGAAGGGTTCAGAACTTTTGTGAAACATCACAGTACAGTTGAAAAATATATGGCAAATAGAAATCCAATATGGATGGTGTTAAGATATAGATGGGAGGTGTTGAATGGAGCTGAAGGATTGTACTAATAACAACTAACAACAACTAATAACAACAAGATAACTAATGTAAAGCATACTCTGTCCATAATAAGTATATAGGTTATAGGTTGAGAGCTTTTGTGAAAGAGCACAGTTAGAAAGATATGGCATATAGAAGCAAACCGGATGGACATCATGAAAATGATCGGAGAGGTTGAGGGTAGAGGAAGTTCAGGAGTAAAAACAAACGAAATAGAATTATTGTAAAATTGACTGTGTCCATAAAATGTATATAGTATGTATAAGCTGGAAGTAGAGGCCTAAGCGTTGTTGTTCACTAGTTTACTCCAATTAGGGAAGAGTGGTGGGGTTGGAAAGTAATAAAGGGAAATATATATATATATGTATGTATATGTATGTATATGTATTTATATGTTTGTATGTATGTGTATGTGTATGTATGTATGTATGTATATATATATATATATATATATATATATATATATATATATATATATATATTTGCGAGAAAAAAACACATATGGGTGATTGGAAGTGATGCAGACAGGTTGATGGAAGTTACAATCTGTCTGCAATATTTAAGCTGATCGACCCCACCCCCAAAAATAAATAAAATAAAAATAAAAACGAACTAAATAATAACACAATACAAACACACGCACACATAGGTTATTGATTACTAATGTAATGAAAACAGGTCCCTAGTGGACTGGACTAACAATAGCACGAATGCTTGGGTAGAAGGAGGGTTGGCTGATTCAGAGAGAGTGGGGGGAAGGAAGAGACAAAGGAATTCACCTATCGGACATTTGTAAACTACGCTCACTGAAAAACAAATGCTTAGCACCCGCTCATTCGGATTAGAAATGCAACATGTATTTACGTGTAGCTGTCCTCGATAGTTGAGTCAAAGATGTAGGACTCTGGTTTGCCCACCAGAGATCCCAATGTCCTTGGTAGAGTTTCTGGTCGTAGTGGTGGTTAGGATGGGTACTTCAGTGTGCCCTGTAGTTCGTAGAGTTGATCTGTTTGGATAGGTACTTCAGATGTACCACCGGTTGTCGGAGAGGGATTGTCCTTCCCAGCTCGTGTCTTTAGTGAAAGTTCTCTAGACGACTATACATGCCAGCTGCAGACTGAGATGATAAGGTCTAGTGCATTGTCTTCTTCGTCACCTCGTGTAGAGGTTGAGAGTTTCAGAGTTTCTCCATTTCAAACGTGTGGACTAACAGCTTCACGCTTCCTGGTCTGGTAGAAATTCAACCATTTGCAACATCCATCTTATACCGTAATCTGCTTGGTCTTCCTTTGGTAATTGAGTTCTAGTTTTAAACCATTTTGTAACGTTTAGCTCACGCTTCACGTCTGAGGTGAATTTCATCACGAGGGGTTTTATACTTGAGTAGAAAAGGGGGCGTTTCATCATGTTTGTGCTCATCTGGGCGTGGCCACTGACTGAGAACAAATCAATATGGAAACAACCATCTCATCTAGAATGCTAAAATCCCATTGTTATCTTCACAGAAGTATTATTATACTTAATCATTCATTTTATACAACAATTAGATGCAAACCTCATAACTGGGAAGTGTACACCCCCAGAGATACAGTTATGTTGTTCCACCTTCTTTAATGACATCACAACATAGTAAATAATTTGACATGATTGTTCTTTAAGTCACCACAGACCATTTCCCACATTCTTTTAAGTAGGAATATTGTTTAATTTTCCACTTTTGGATGTTGGAGTCTTGGCTGGAAGACTTCCTTTGTCTCAATACTGCATGGCACGGAAAATATAGTTTCTGCAAGGAATTTACAGTAAGTGTAGCCTATATTATTTTGATGTGATATGTAAGTAGAGGGCTTTATGTTTCTAGAACCGTACCGCAATTGAGAATTGATTTACGTTTAGATGGAGTATCTGGCTGTTTGGACTACTAGAGCCAATTCGCCTAGAAACAGAACATGTAAATTCCTTGGACTATAAGGAGTAATGTTATGCTCCTTTAGTTCATTCTTGGGCTAGGGTAGATTAGGGAAAACATAAAGTAAATAGAATCAGAGGGTTGAAAAGAAGGATGAAGACTGGCCACTTTTTACAGAAAGTAAGGGAAATGCATGCAGAGATGGTGGGGCAGAAACAGGGTGTGGTTGGAAAGGGAGAGAATGAAGAGGAAAGGTTGGCAACAAGTAAGGTAGAAATTAGATGAGGGCTGCCACAGTCTGCCAGTGAGATACTACTTCTTCTTAGATTAGGTTTAATGGCGGTTGGCATTCTGCCAGTGCGAGAGTGGGTGCTCTAAGCATTTGGTGTCTTCCATTCAAAGAAGACAGAAAATAAAGATGCTGGGAGTCATCCACCATCTTTGGTCTGGAGTCTAGGTGTGGGGGAGAGGAGAGCGGTAGAGCGAGAGAGGTGTAAAATGGCAGAAGTGGATCTGCTGAGGCTGCTAAGGGGAGGACGGCTCATAATAATGTCTGGAATGGAGTAAATGGAAGGGTATCAAAAACATGGTTTTCATCGGTTTGATACCATTCCATTCACTCCATTCCATCCATTGAACTCCATTCCAGCCATTATCATGAGCTGTCCTCCCCTCAGCAGCCTCCACTGAAGTGGAAGCTGAGTTCGAATCAAGCAGAGCATCAATCAAAGTTGGTGAAGATGAAAGTCCTGAATGGACAACAGTAGTGTCGAAAACTGGAACAAAAAGGAAATTGTCTAATCTTTGGAGTGAGGGATACATCCATGAATGATAATGATTCACTTCTTGTTGGGATGCGTTTGTTGAGTGACCAGGAGTGGTCTTATTTTGATTGATTGTATTTCTGAAGAACAGAGGAAGATTGCAGTGGGCCTCAAAAGAATCCGGACAACAGAAGTTTCCTGCTTTGAACTTTGGAGTAGAGCACCCGTCAAAGGAGTCATCTCAGGGGTGACGACGGATGTTCAGGTTGAATACCTAAAGAGAATTCCTGGTGTGGTTGGTGCCCGGCTTCTGACTCGCTGGGTGAACGAAAAAAAAAAAGAATGTCTGTTGGTCCTGTTGTTTTTTGACAAAGAGCATCTACCTATGCATGTGATGCTTGGTTATGTAAGATACACTGTTAGAGCTTTTGTTCCCAAACCACTGCAGTGTAAGAACTGTAAAAGATTGTTGTTTCAAGTGTGTGCAGACGGACGGAGTATACTGAAGAACGGTGTGTAGAAGGACGACGGTGTTGCAATTGTGGTGGGGATCATGATCCCGAGTTCCTGGAGTGAAGGAGATTGAGGTGGCAAAAGTTAGAGCGACCAATCGAATCTCCTATGCGGAGGCGATTAAAAGAATTGACAAAACAAGTGATGCTAGTGATTTTATGGTAGTGGATGCACCACAGCCTGTATTAAAGTTTGCTGCCAGTCAAACAATACCATGTGTGTTAAAAAGGTGGATTTTGTGGCGTTCATTGCCACAGCTATAAACTGTACGACTCAAGTCTCAAAGAAGTCTATGATACTGGACATTGTGGCTGCGGCAGAACGGTTTTTGGGACATAAGGATTTTACATCTGAAGACTTGCAAGGGGTACTGGCGCCAGAAGAAGGCCTGCCCTCAGAGGTTCCCGTTGAGCCTGTGTAAGGATCAGATCTGTTTATTTTTTAACAGTAAAGTTGTTTGATTTATTTTATTTTAGGTATTATTATTATTTTTAAGATGTTTGTTCCATTTTTTGGGGGGAATCCTGTTTCCATCCTGCCCGGTAGGTGGCGGGATTCACATTCAATTGTGCAATCGCCAATATACCATAGAAGAAGAAGAATCCGGGTGTCGGTTGATCTCCAAAACACTTTCAAAGATGGCGCTGTCTAGTGTCTTGCAGAGTGAGTCTGCGGATTTTTCATTTAATAATGACCGGTCTTTTTCATTTGGTTGTGGACTTGGTCAGACCGACTTGGGCTTTGGGGCTGCACCGGGTGACAGACTTAATTTCTCCATAAAAGCTTCGCTCGGCCCCGACGACGAGGACGGCCCGGAGAGGAAAATAGAATTTCTCCATGGGACCACCACCTTGGCTTTCAAAGTAAATTGAGATTGCTAGTTAAAGCCTCTGTTTTAATGTAAAATAAGTCACACATTAACTCAAATTATATCCTTGAGATTTTATTTGATATTAGCTATAGCTAGCTATATTGGTGAAGTGGTCTTGAGTTCCATGCTGTGTCTGTTTTAGTTTTCTTGATGGCTAACTAGCTAGCTTATGTTAGCCAGCCAGTTATCTAGCGGGCTAATTGTGCTTGCTCATTGCTAACGTTAGCCAAGCTTGCTAGCTAGTTATCTAAATAACTACCTACAGTAGTTTGACAACACTGACAGTTCATCAGCTAGTTTACAAGTTTGTTTTATCTAAATGTGTCACATACTAGCTAGTAGCCACAGTAGCTTGTTTGCTTGGCATTTGGCAGTAATTCCAATTGCACATAGCTAGTTACATAGTCCTATCCAGGGCTAAAGTTACTAGTTAAGTATACATTACATACTGGCCTAAACTTTGTTAATGAGAATTAGTATTCTTCTAAAAGTGTTGGATCAAACTCTCTGTAGCAGAAACAAACCATCAGCTGACAGCCAGTAAGGCCACCAATCTCTCAAGTCAAGTGCAGCTGGCCCTCCCTAACTAACCTCAAATCCCATTTGTCATCATTCCACAGTTCCAACATGGCGTCATCGTGGCGGTGGACTCTCGGGCCACAGCTGGTGCCTACATCGCCTCCCAGACTGTAAAGAAGGTGATAGAGATAAACCCGTACCTGCTGGGCACCATGGCTGGAGGTGCAGCTGACTGCAGCTTCTGGGAGCGCCTGCTGGCCCGCCAGTGTCGCGTCTATGAGCTCCGCAACAAGGAGCGCATCTCTGTGGCAGCTGCCTCCAAGCTTCTGGCCAATATGGTGTACCAGTACAAGGGCATGGGCCTCAGCATGGGCACCATGGTGTGTGGCTGGGACAAGAGGGGGCCAGGTAAATAGCACTCCTACACTCTGAGCACACGTGTTACCCCAATTGACGTATCTATGTTACAGTGGAACCCCAGTCATACATGTATTTGTTTACCCCATGATCTGGTGAACTTGCTAACTATGTAAACACTGTTTTCCCGCTAGCTAGTATGCTGCTACTCTCTGTTTATTATCTATGCAGTCACTTTAACTATACCACATTTGCATATTACCTCAATTATCTCGACTAACCGATGCCCCCGCACATTGACTCTATACCGGTACCCCCTGTATATAGCCTCGCTGCTGTTATTTTACTGCTTTTATTTTCTACTTATCTATTGTTTACTAAACACTTATTTTTCTGCATTGTTGGTTAAGGCCTTGTAAGTAAGCATTTCACTATAAGGTCTACATCTGTTGTATTCAGTGCGTGTGACAAATAAGATTTAGTAGCTGCTAAGAGTATGGGATGTATTATTTATTAAATTATTTTTTATTTTTTTACATTGGTTCATAATAGCAATAGTTAGCAGGGATTGAGTGAACCTCTCCTGTCTCTGCTGCTTGTGAAAATGTTTACAACACATCAGCTGTCAACAGTTACCAACACAGTTCAGAAAGTAGGCTAAGTACCGGGTTGAGTGAATTTTGGTTGTCTGCAACTAGATGGCATTGCTGTCACACTCTTTCTTACTATTGTGGATTTTACTTGTGCTTTTGGATGCTGTGCAGTAAGAGGCAGTAGCCTACATTACATGAGGTGTGCTTAAAGAGGACTGCACCGTGACGCTCTAATGGGAGATTGATAGGGCTGGGACTGTGGGCCAGGGAGAGCCGGCGTGGTGATGGACGCAAGGTCTCGGCCCGGACAATTGGGTCGCGTGCATAATGTGGTTCTGCTTGATCGATGAGCTTTGTTCACAGAGTGGGGAGAATGTGTGGACAATAACAGGCTTCCAGACTGCCTGGGACCTAGGTGACTTGTGTTAAATCCTGCAATCAATCGGGATAATAATGATCCCAGTATAAGTGCAATAGGAATGGTGGCAGCTACAATGCCAGTGATTGAATGGAGAGGAAAATGTCATGTAAATTAAATCAATCTCGATTAAGAGAAAGCTCATTAGCGGCTACAATGATGTCAAGCACTGTTATTCTGTTGATTAAGTGTCTTAAGTGGCACAAGAAATATATCTAATAAAGTATGTTTAAGAACACTTCAAAAACAAAAGGCAAGAATATTTTTTATGACACATTCTGTTGTTGGGGTACTCCCACACCATTCCAACACATTAACATTTACAATTTTGGGGGGAAGGACAGTTACTTTTAATGGGTGAACAGCATAAAATGGAGAGAGACTAGATAGTACATTGACGGCCAAATTACTGCACTGTAATACCAAACCACATAGGATCCAGAAGTGAGTGAGTCAGTGAATTTGCACAGGTAGCAGGCGCTGCACAGTATAGGTAAGCTGCTGTTCCCTTGTGTGTGTGAGGCTGAGCATCTGTTTTTGAAGCCCCTGGCCTCCTTTAGCTCAGAGCGGAGCCAGTGATTTGTTTTAGTGAGATCGACAGATGTGACAGACCCATTCAGACAGACAGACGCTGCTCGTCCGTCTGATGCCAGCCCCTGCTCTTCTGAAGGCTGTCACTCTGACGTTCCTCAGCGCTGACATGAAAAAGAGTTAGAGCTTAACCGCCTGTCACCTAGCTGGTGGAGTGGAAGGCGAGGCGCTATGCCGGAACGTTCCGCCGTTCGCAGCTCGCCGCCTTCCTGCAGGTTTATGTGGGCTCATGAATTTAAGCCCTTTTGTTCTGCCACGATGAGCGTCACCCTCCTCTCCCCTCCTTATCTTCTGTGCCGCTTCTCAGTGACGCACTCTCCCTCCCCCTCCGCCCCCCCATCCTACATTCCTGTGTTCTCTATATAGATCCCAGGTGTGTTATGGATGTGGAGGTGTTGGTGCTTTTATCCCTGCCTGGCCCCGAAGAGCCACCCTCCTCCTTCCTCCCTGCCTCTGCATGAGTGGCTGCCTTTAGAAAAGTCTCCTCTATTACATTTTTAACCAGTCCTCCTCAGTCTTCAGAGTCGCTGCTCCAAAATTGCAAATTATCCTGGCGCATAGGCAGGAGCTTAGTGATTATCAGAGGGAGCTAACGACGCGTATAGAAGGTGCAATTTGCCAGTTGAAAGCAATTGTGACTTCTTAGCGACCAATTTCTTAAAGAAGGCTGTCCTTAACTGGCCTGGGAGCTGTGGCCTATCATTGGGAGGATTTGTGTGAGCTATACAGTTGAAGTCGGACCTTAGCCAAATACATTTAAACTCAGTTTTTCACAATTCCTGACATTTAATCCTAGTAAAAATTCCCTGTCTTAGGTCAGTTAGGATCACCACTTTATTTTAAGAATGTGAAATGTCAGAATAATAGTAGAGTGATTTATTTCAGCTTTTATTTCTTTTTTCACATTACCAGTGGGTCAGAAGTTTACATACACTCAATTAGTATTTGGTAGCATTGCCTTTAAATTGTTTAACTTGGGTCAAACGTTTCAGGTAGCCTTCCACAAGCTTCCCACAATAACCGGGAGACTCATGGGTGGCGCACAATTGGCCCAGCGTCGTCCAGGGTAGGGGAGGGAATGGCCGGCAGGGATGTAGCTCAGTTGATAGAGCATGGCGTTTGCAACGCCAGGGTTGTGGGTTCGATTCCCACGGGGGGCCAGAATAAAAAAAAAAAATGTATTCACTAACTGTAAGTCGCTCTGGATAAGAGCGTCTGCTAAATGACTAAAATGTAAATGTAATGTAAAATAAGTTGGGTGAATTTTGGCCCATTCCTCCTGACAGAGCTGGTGTAACTGAGTCAGGTTTGTAGGCCTCCTTGCTCGCACACGCTTTTTCAGTTCTGCCCACACATTTTCTATAGGATTGAGGTCAGGGCTTTGTGATGGCCACTGCAATACCTTGACTTTGTTGTCCTTAAGCCATTTTGCCACAACTTCGGAAGTATGCTTGGGGTCATTGTCCATTTGGAAGACCAATTTGTGACCAAGCTTTAACTTCCTGACTGATGTCTTGAGATGTTGCTTCAATATATCCACATAATTATCCTTCCTCATGATGCCATCTATTTTGTGAAGTGCACCAGTCCCTGCTGCAGCAAAGCACCCCCACAGCATGATGCTGCCACCCCCGTGCTTCACAGTTGGGATGGTGTTCTTCGGCTTGCAAGGTACCACCTTTTTCCTCCAAACATAACGATGGTCATTATGGCCAAACAGTTCTATTTTTGTTTCATCAGACCAGAGGACATTTCTCCAAAAAGTAAGATCTTTGTCCCCATGTGCAGTTGCAAACCGTAGTCTGGCTTTTTTATGGCGGTTTTGGAGCAGTGGCTTCTTCCTTGCTGAGCAGCCTTTCAGGTTATGTTGATATAGGACTTGTTTTACTGTGGATATATATACTTTTGTACCTGTTTCCTCCAACATCTTCACAAGGTCCTTTGTTGTTGTTCTGGGATTGATTTGCAGTTTCCGCACCAAAGTACGTTCATCTCTAGGAGACAGAACGCATCTCCTTCCTGAGCGGTATGACGGTGCGTGGTCCCATGGTGTTTATACTTGCGTACTATTGTTTGTACAGATGAACGTGGTGCCTTCAGGCGTTTGGAAATTGCTCCCAAGGATGAACCAGACTTGTGGAGGTCTACCATTTTTTTTTCTGAGGTCTTGGCTGATTTCTTTTGATTTTCCTATGACGTCAAGCAAAGAGGCACTGAGTCTGAAGGTAGGCCTTGAAATACATCCACAGGTACACCTCAAATTAACTCAAATGATGTCAATTAGCCTATCAGAAGCTTCTAACGCCATGACATAATTTTCTGGAATTTTCCAAGCTGTTTAAAGGCACAGTCAACTTAGTGTATGTAAACCTCTGACCCACTGGAATTGTGATACAGTGAATTATAAGTGAAATAATCTGTCTGTAAACAATTGTTGTCATGCACAAAGTAAATGTCCTAACTGACTAGCCAAAACTATAGTTTGTTAACAAGAATTTTGTGGAGTGGTTGAAAAACAAGTTTTAATGACTCCAACCTAAGTTTATGTGAACTTCCGACTTCAACTGTAGGTATATAAGGTTGTTCTTTGAGATGTGTGTGTGATTCACAATTATCACAGGTTCACGCTTTGATGGTGTTGAGAGAAACAGGCTTTTTCCCTCCCTGATTCACCATCTGTAGGTTGGCTCTCTGGTGGAACAGCACAGGCTGGTGGTGCTAGTCACTGCCGCTGCGTCACTGTGATCAAGCCCTCTGCCTGTGTCACGTTGGGGAACAAACTGTCTCACAAGTCATCCTTGCAAATACACCAGCCTGCATTTTGTGTGTGTGCTTGCATTATCAAGTGTAGCTTGTGCGTGTGTACATGAATATGGTTGTTATTTTGTGGATTTTGTTCTTTCGTTTTTCCATCTTTTCTCTGAGTTCGGGTCACCTGCTTGGCCCAGTATGGGTCGATAGTTAATTTGGGTGTGTTGGAAGGGATCAATAAGGCCTAGAGCAGCGCCCCGGGGAGGACAGACAGGCAGGCAGTGTGTCAGGATGTGCCTCGTCAGCAGGTTCTGCTGGGCTTGGTTTACTCTGAGAGGATGTAGCTGTTCACATTCCCTCTGGAGGGCACCACACGGTGTGTGTAGTTGGATCTATTACGTGTTTGTGTGTGTGAGAGAAGTGTGTGGGTGGTAGGGCTGTCCCCGACAAAAAAAATATCTTGTTATTTCGACCAATCGATTGGTATAATTATTTTTACGTGTTTTTCCATGTGTGTATAGACACATCCTATGTTTTAATAAAGTCAACTATATGTAGGCTACTGAGCTTGTCTGATGCTTTAAGCACTGTGATTTAAAAATTAAGACAAACAAATGACTAAAGAGGGAGCCAGAGATCCAGAAGAAGAAGAAAAACCTGTTCCTGACCTTCCTCCTACCGCTGCTGCTGGCCTTTGCAGATTCTGCCATTACACTCCTGAAGTTGCCGGTAATAGGCTACGCCAGCGGTCGGCAAACTTTTTGCATTTGGAGTGCCAAGTTATCGTACCATTTCTACTGATCTGCGTGCCAGTTATGATTTTCATATGCACATTTTTGTGGAACAGTTCCATTTCATTTATAATAGCCATCATATCTCAAAATCAATGTCATGTGGTTAATCAAAATTATATCTAAATGAAAATGATACAAATCTAAAAGTGACTTCTATTGCCATTGCCAATATATAAAAATAGCCTACATAAAGCCAACAAATAAAAACATTGCAGCCCACAGATAGAAAATATCCAGTTTTATATTTTTTATTTTTTTAAAAACAATTTTATCCTATAATTCACATTGACTACGCATGGCCTGTCTGCAAGGAACTTGAAACATTGTATCAACTATTAACTTGGTCCAGCCTTAAAGCTTGTGCTAGCGAACTTGCAACATTGTATAAAATATTCAGTGAGCTCCGGACAGACAGACAGCTGTAGTCTATTTGCACAAGGGATAAGAAGTAATCAGGTAGGCCTATTTTAATGACATTTCCACCAGATCAGAGCATGACATTTTTTCCCCCTTTCATGCTGAGTGGTTATCGAAAGGGAGAGAGCTTGAAATATTTTTCAAATAGGCTAAAATTGAGGAACTATTGTCATTCTCAATGGATGTAAAAACAGACTTTGTTTACTTGCTGTATGAGGTGAATCATTTTTTTAATTTAGAAGCTCCACAGTGATGGTGAGTTAATACAATCAGAAATAGTATCAGATCCCCAAATGGGCACATTTATAGGCCTACATTTGCACGCAGGCCAGGTAGCCTAGGCCTACTTCTATGCGTGATCAGGTGTGTGTCCTTACTCAAGAAACAAAAGACAATTAATAAATTGACAACTCGTAAATGGAATGAAATTAAGTAAAACTTGTTTCTCACAAGTGTAGCCTAGGTTGTGTGCTCTGCAAACAACCTGTCCACTCCTACAATGAGAATGGTAAGACTGTAATAATAATATATTGAATGCATTAACAAAAATTACCATAACCAAACAAAGATTGTAGATTAGAAATTATGGGAATTACGGGTAGATGTACTACTGGTGATACTGGTGTGCTTCTACAATGGATTAGTCCACTCAGACAGGTGTCTTGTGTGCCATTAAAAATAATAATTATATAGTGCATTCGGAAAGTATTCAGACCCCTTGACTTTTTCAACATTTTGTTACGTTACAGCCTTATTCTTAAATGGATTAAATCGTTTTTCCCCCTCATCAATCTACACACTACCCCATAATGACAAAGCAAAAACAGGTTTTTATATCACATTTACATAAGTATTCAGACCCTTTACTCAGTACTTTGTTGAAGCACCATTGGCAGCGATTACAGCCTCGAGCCTTCTTGGGTATGACGCTCCAAGCTTGGCACACCTGTATTTGGGGAGTTTCTCCCATTCTTCTCTGCAGATCCTCTCAAGCTCTGTCAGGTTGGATGGGGAGCGTCGCTGCACAGCTATTTTCAGGTCTCTCCAGAGATGCTTGATTAGGTTCAAGTCCGGGCTCTGGCTGGGCCACTCAAGGATGTTCTGAGACTTGTCCCGAAGCCGCTCCTGCGTTGTCTTGTCTGTGTGCTTAGGTTCATTGTCCTGTTGGAAGGTGAACCTTCGCCCCAGTCTGAGGTCCTGAGCGCTCTGGAGCAGGTTTTCATCAAGGATCTCTCTGCGCTTTGCGCTTTTAGTTTTTCCCTTGATCCTGACAAGTCTCCCAGTCCCTGCCGCTGAAAAACATCCCCACAGCATGATGCTGCCACCACCATGCTTCTCCATAGGGATGGTGCCAGGTTTCCTCCGGACATAACGCTTGGCATTCAGGCCAAAGAGTTCAATCTTGGTTTCATCAGACCAGAGAATCTTGTTTCTCATGGTCTGAGTCCTTTAGGTGCCTTTTGGTAAACTCCAAGCGGGCTGTCATGTGCCTTTTACTGAGGAGTGGCTTCCGTCTGGCCACGCTACCAAAAAGGCCTGATTGGTGGAGTGCTGCAGAGATGGTTGTCCTTCTGGAAGGTTCTCCCTTCTCCACAGAGGAACTCTGGAGCTCTGTCAGAGTAGATCAAGGCCCTTCTCCCCCAATTGCTCAGTTTGGCCGGGCGGCCAGCTCTAGGAAGTGTCTTGGTGGTTCCAAACTTCTTCCATTTAAGAATGATGGAGGCCACTGTGTTTTTGGGGACCTTCGATGCAGCAGAAATGTTTTGGTACCCTTCCCCAGTTCTGTGCCTCGACACAATCCTGTCACGAAGCTCTACGGACAATTCCTTCGACCTCATGGCTTGGTTTTTGCTCTGACATGCACTGTCAACTGTGGGAGTTTATATAGACAGGTGTGTGACATTTTAGAATAAGGCTGTAACGTAACAAAATGTGGAAAAAGTAAAGGGGTCTGAATACTTTCCGAATGCACTGTGTGTGTGTGTGTGTATGTATGTATATACAGTTGAAGTCGGAAGTTTACATACACTTAGGTTAGAGTCATTAAAACTCGTTTTTCAACCACTCCACAAATTTCTTGTTAAGAAATTAGAGTTTTGGCAAGTCGGTTAGGACATCTACTTTGTTCATGACACAAGTAATTTTTCCAACAATTGTTTACAGACAGATTATTTCACTTATAATTCACTGTATCACAATTCCAGTGGGTCAGAAGTTTACATACACTAAGTTGACTGTAACTTTAAACAGCTTGGACATTTTCAAAAAATTATGTCATGCTTTAGAAGCTTCTAATAGGCTAATTGACATCATTTGAGTTAACTGGAGGTGTACCTGTGGATGTATTTCAAGGCCTACCTTCAAACTCAGTGCCTCTTTGCTTGACATCATGGGAAAATCAAAATAAATCAGCCAAGACCTCAGAAAAAATCTGTAGACCTCCACAAGTCTGGTTCATCCTTGGGAGCAATTTCCAAACGCCTGAAGGTACCACGTTCATCTGTACAAACAGTAGTACGCAAGTATAAACACCATGGGACCACGCAGCCGTCATACCGCTCAGGAAGGAGACGTGTTCTTTCTCCTAGAGAATAACGTACTTTGGTGTGGAAAGTGCAAATCAATCCCAGAACAACAGCAAAGGACCTTGTGAAGATGCTGGAGGAAACGGGTACAAAAGTATCTACAGTGGGGAAAAAAAGTTTTTAGGCAGCCACCAATTGTGCAAGTTCTCCCACTTAAAAAGATGAGAGAGGCCTGTAATTTTCATCATAGGTACACGTCAACTATGACAGACAAATTGAGGAGAAAAAATCCAGAAAATCACATTGTAGGATTTTTAATGAATTTTTTTGCAAATTATGGTGGAAAATAAGTATTTGGTCACCTACAAACAAGCAATATTTCTGGCTCTCACAGACCTGTAACTTCTTCTTTAAGAGGCTCCTCTGTCCTCCACTTGTTACCTGTATTAATGGCACCTATTTGAACTTGTTATCAGTATAAAAGACACCTGTACACAACCTCAAACAGTCACACTCCAAACTCCACTATGGCCAAGACCAAAGAGCTGTCAAAGGACACCAGAAACAAAATTGTAGACCTGCACCAGGCTGGGAAGACTGAATCTGCAATAGGTAAGCAGCTTGGTTTGAAGAAATCAACTGTGGGAGCAATTATTAGGAAATGGAAGACATACAAGACCATTGATAATCTCCCTCGATCTGGGGCTCCACGCAAGGTCTCACCCCGTGGGGTCAAAATGATCACAAGAACGGTGAGCAAAAATCCCAGAACCACACGGGGGGACCTAGTGAATGACCTGCAGAGAGCTGGGACCAAAGTAACAAAGCCTACCATCAGTAACACACTACGCCGCCAGGGACTCAAATCCTGCAGTGCCAGACATGTCCCCCTGCTTAAGCCAGTACATGTCCAGGCCCGTCTGAAAAACAGCCCCAAAGCATGATGTTTCCACCCCCATGCTTCACAGTAGGTATGGTGTTCTTTGGATGCAACACAGCATTCTTTGTCCTCCAAACACGACGAGTTGAGTTTTTACCAAAAAGTTATATTTTGGTTTCATCTGACCATATGACATTCTCCCAATCCTCTTCTGGATCATCCAAATGCACTCTAGCAAACTTCAGACGGGCCTGGACATGTACTGGCTTAAGCAGGGGGACACGTCTGGCACTGCAGGATTTGAGTCCCTGGCGGCGTAGTGTGTTACTGATGGTAGGCTTTGTTACTTTGGTCCCAGCTCTCTGCAGGTAATTCACTAGGTCCCCCCGTGTGGTTCTGGGATTTTTGCTCACCGTTCTTGTGATCATTTTGACCCCACGGGGTGAGATCTTGCGTGGAGCCCCAGATCGAGGGAGATTATCAGTGGTCTTGTATGTCTTCCATTTCATAATAATTGCTCCCACAGTTGATTTCTTCAAACCAAGCTGCTTACCTATTGCAGATTCAGTCTTCCCAGCCTGGTGCAGGTCTACAATTTTGTTTCTGGTGTCCTTTGACAGCTCTTTGGTCTTGGCCATAGTGGAGTTTGGAGTGTGACTGTTTGAGGTTGTGTACAGGTGTCTTTTATACTGATAACAAGTTCAAACAGGTGCCATTAATACAGGTAACGAGTGGAGGACAGAGGAGCCTCTTAAAGAAGAAGTTACAGGTCTGTGAGAGCCAGAAATCTTGCTTGTTTGTAGGTGACCAAATACTTATTTTCCACCATAATTTGCAAATAAAATCATTAAAAATCCTACAATGTGATTTTCTGGATTTTTTTTCCTCAATTTGTCTGTCATAGTTGACGTGTACCTATGATGAAAATTACAGGCCTCTCTCATCTTTTTAAGTGGGAGAACATGCACAATTGGTGGCTGACTAAATACTTTTTTTCCCCACTGTATATCACAAAGTATTGAGAAACTTTTGTTATTGACCAAATACTTATTTTCCACCATAATTTGCAAAGAAATTAATTAAAAATCCTACAATGTGATTTTCTGGAAAAAAAATTCTCATTTTGTCTGTCATAGTTGACGTCTACCTATGATGAAAATTACAGGCCTCTCTCATCTTTTTAAGTGGGAGAACTTGCACAATTGGTGGCTGACTAAATACTTTTTTCCCCCACTGTATATCCACAGTAAAACGAGTCCTATATCGACATAACTTGAAAGGCCTCTCAGCAAGGAAGAAGCCACTGCTCCAAAACCGCCATAAAACAGCCAGACTACGGTTTGCAACTGCACATGGGGACAAAGATCGTACTTTTTGGAGAAATGTCCTCTGGTCTGATTAAACAAAAATAGAACTGTTTGGCCATAATGACCATCGTTATGTTTGGAGGAAAAAAGGGGGTACCTTGCAAGCCGAAGATCACCATCCCAACTGTGAAGTACAGGGGTGGCAGCATCATGCTGTGGGGGTGCTTTGCTGCAGGAGGGACTGGTGCGCTTCACTAAATAGATGGCATCATGAGGAAGGAAAATTATGTGGATATGTTGAAGCAACATCTCAAGATATCAGTTAGGAAGGTAAAGCTTGGTCGCAAATGGGTCTTCCAAATGGACAATGACCCCAAGCATACATCCAAAGTTGACCCACTGGGAATGTGATGAAATAAATAAAAGCTGAAATAAATCATTCTCTCTACTATTATTCTGACATTTCACATTCTTAAAATAAAGTGGTGATCCTAACTGACCTAAGACAGGGAATTTTTACTAGGATTAAATGTCTGGAATTGTGAAAAACTGAATTTAAATGTATTTGGCTAAGGTGTATGTACACTTCCGACTTCAACTGTGTGTGTGTGTATATATATATATATATATATATATATGCCACTGCTCGACTAAAAAATGATCGGTCGACTAAATGGGGGCAGCCCTAGTCTGTAGCCTACACCTCAATTTCCCTGACACAGTTCCACACCTGTGAAATGAACCCACTTTACCTTGCTCTCCTCCTACCCCTCCCTGAATGTCAGATGGTACAGACTGACTCCTGTCTCTCTGCCTCCTCAGGGTTATACTACGTGGACTCGGAGGGGAACCGTGTGTGCGGGGACCTGTTTGCAGTGGGCTCTGGGTCCATGTATGCGTACGGTGTGGTGGACAGCGGGCTGAGACAGGATCTGTCTGTGGAGGAGGCCTGTGAGCTTGGCCGCAGGGCTATCTACCAGGCCACGTATCGAGACGCCTACAGCGGAGGACAGGTCAACCTGTACCACGTCCACAGTGAGGGCTGGACCAGAGTGTCCCAGGAAGATGTATTGAAGCTGCACCACCAGTACCAAGAACAGAAGAAATAGAGAGGGGTAGGAGGAATGGTCGAAGGAGGGAGGCGATGGAGGGAGGGCGTTTTAGTTTCTCTGTCAAGAGCTTTTTAGAATGGTCAAAATTAGGGATGGTTGATAAGGATATAGCAATCATTTTCTTCTGTTTGGATTCATTTCACTTACACGTCCGTTATGGTTTACTTTCAGATATGCTCCTAGCTAATTGAAATGTTTGAACATTTTTACCAAACAATGGGCTGCACTTCCCCAACGTAGTGTTTGATATGACACAGTGCGCGCTGTGTCCTAGTGAAGAGGCTGGTAAGTCAAATACGGCTCACTCAGTCTTGGAGTAGTCTCTCTCTTACACCGTTATAGATCTACCTTGTAACCACAACTGGGAAAGCAATAAACCCTGAGATGTTTTTTCAGCTTGGAATGTGTGTTTCTTTTTATTTATGTCCTCTTGTGTTTGCTCTGGTGTTTACTGTAGATGTGTCTGTTATTCATGTACACAACACATTCTCACCTGTCATTTCATGTTTTTCCTTTCTTCTCCATTCCTTGATATTGCTCCTTTCCCCAGAATTTTCATTTTCTGTTAATATTTTGTCATCTGCATCTGAGATCCTGATGTATTCTGTTCCTCTACCTACAAGCGACCCCTCGAACCCTGCTCTGTGATCATTGGGGAGTAGCTGCAGTGTTTACCTTTAAACCATAGGAGTTGCTAATTACATATCTATCACTAATTGTGCTTCCTGTGTGGAAAACAGAGTATTTTCCCCTCACGTGTAACTTCCCCTCATCCACTGTTTTAGCAACAGTTTATTTATTTAATTGGAAGGGAAATGTATTGTTTAATTTCTCTCCGACACACTTAGCTTCTCAATGCTAATGTTATGTGCAACTCTGTCACTGTGCTTTACAATGTAATGATCTGCGTTGGGCTGTGAGGCCCTTCAGCGGTTTTACGGGCGGGAAATAAACACTAATAAAGGCGATGGGTAGACGTCTATGCCCCTGCACCTTCCAGCCATGGTTTGAATCTAGTTTCACAGGTGGATAGTTGGCAGATGCAATAATAAATACATGGGATTTCAATAAATGTAAACGAGCCTTCCTTTCCAGCGCTCTGCTCTGAGTAAAATGAAGAGATGAGTATTACACACTCATGGTGGACCCTCACAATGGCACTGTGTGTCGAGCTGGAATCATACAGAGCATTTGACTTACTGGTTAGAAAACCACTTTAATGAGATGACAGCAAGTTAATGTAAGTGAGCAAAGACTATTTTAAGGATGAGCGCAATAATTATAATTAAAATATTCAACTAATCTTGGTCTTCTCTTTCAAGCATGATGAACTTGAGTGTGTGGAAGAACTGGAATGGAACAAAAGCTGGTACAACCTGAGGGCCTGCGGCCAGTCATGACCAGTGGTCTCCACCAGTGGAGGCTCCTCAGAGGAGGAAGGGGAGGACCATCCTCAGTGAATTTCATTTCATTATTGAAATTGTTATGCTTTTAAGATAAAACTATACTAAATATATTAATGTCACCAAATAATTCATTAAAACATACTGTTTTGCAAGGAAGGTCTACAGTAGCCTCAACAGCACTTTTGTTGGGCAGCACGGAGGACAGTTAGTTTCCGTCCTCCTCTGGGTGCATTGACTTCAATACAAAACCTAGGAGGCTCATGGTTCTCACCCCTTTCTGTAGACTTACACAGTAATTATGACAACTTTCCAGAGGAAGTCCTCCAACCTATCAGAGCTCTTGCAGCATGAACTGACATGTTGTCCACCCAATCAAAGGATCAGAGAATGAATCTGGTACTGAAAGCATAAGCTACAGCTAGCTAGCACTGCAGTGCATAAAATGTGGTGAGTAGTTGACTCAAAGAGAGAGAAAGATAATTGTTGAATAGTTTTGAACAAATTCATTATTTCAAAAATGAAGGACCAAGCGAGAACCACTTTCACGTAGCTAGCGAATGCAGCTAGCTAGTTTAGCCTCTCAAACATCCGGATTAAACAGAGGCATGCAATGTTAGCTACCTGGCTATGGCTATCCAACACTGGAACTCTTCCAAGTCAAGGTAAGCTTTTGATTTTATGAATGTATTGCCACCGGGGTCCAACGGTGTAACTGCTAACCTGCTTGCTGACTGTACACTGTACTGCATGATTGTAGCGGGTTTATTAATGTGTTAGCAACTAAAACTATGTTGACTATGACGTTAGCTAATATGGTGACAACGATGCAGGCTGTGCGTAGCGGTTAGCAGTTATGATATGAAGGTTTGGCTTGGAAAGGTTTTTTCACCTGGTCACAGCTAATATGTTGTGCGCTGAAGTCCACAAGTGAGGGGAAAAGGTGAGAGGAGGAGAGCTCGTAGATGCTAGAAGGAATTATACAATGAACAAATGACCATGCTTTTTGTATGTGGCTGCTATGAAAATGAACTGTGTTTGTGTGTGATCAGGGATGTATTAATTCCTCCGATTCTTTTGAAAAACGTTTCTTAAATGGAACGAAATGGGAATAAACATACTACCTGAATTTGAAACTCTTGTTTGCAACTGTTGGACTAATGATTACACCCTAGATCAGCTAGATGCAGGCAATGTGCAAGGCAGTATTGAATGTCACTGTCACCTTGATTACTCAAATTTCTCTTGACCTACGTTATAAACTTTCATTCATAGGCTAGGTTGTTGCAACCTCATGATGGGTATAGGGAACATTTGAGTGTCATGTAGTAGCCTAAACCTATTGATGTTACATTGAGCTGGGTGAATGAAATATGAATGACAGTCATCCAATATATTGTAATAGAAATAAGGCCATGCTCATGAAAAATGTATCGTCTTACCTCATCTTAAACGGCACAGACTGCCACTGGTCTCCACCGGTGGTATAGGGCCATTTAGCTGTCAATGTGAGGGACATTTTTCAGTTTCACCATCTCATGATTTGCTCTCTCCGCTCTCATAATACTTTAAAATCAACTACTGGATGGTGACACGGGGACGGTGTGACAAATGGTGAAAATAACATTGTGTTTGAACCTAAATAAGAGAGCATTTAGAAAAAGACCAGCTGGTGAATGGCGATATTGGAAGGTGCCAGCACAATGATTTTCAGTGTCAGAAAATAACCTCTATGCCCACGTTATGCCATCTGTCAGGTGGTCCTATGTAATTTTGGTCTCAGCTACCAGATCTGATTAGGGGCGAGGCTCCTGGGGGAGGCCAGTCTGTTAGATGAACACAGATCCACTTCAAACTGGATAGCTCTTGTGGATGGTCCTGGATGGTCCTGTGTAGCTCAGTCGGTAGAGCATGGCACTTGCATTGCCAAGGATTGTGGGTTGGATTTCCACTGGGGCCACCCATATGTAAAATGTATGCACGCATGACTGTAAGTCATTTTGGATAAAAGTGCTAATTGTGTTACAGCCTGAATTTGTAGATTACATTGAGATTTAGTGTCACACAATACCCCATAATGTCAAAGTGGAATTATATTTTTAGAAGTTTTTACACATTTTTAGAAGTATTTACAAATTAATTAAAAATGAAAAGCTGAAATGTCTTGAGTCAATCAGTATTCAACCCCTTTGTTATGGCAAGCCTAAATAAGTTTGTGAGTAAAAATTACCTTAAGTCACATAATAAGTTGCATACACTTTGGATGGTGTATCAATAAAGGCGTCCTTCCTAACTCAGTTGCCGGAGAGGAAAGGAACCTTGCAGGGGTTTCACCATGAGGCCAATGGTGACTTTAAAACAGTTACAGTTTAATGGCTGTGATAGGAGAAAACTGAGGATGGATCAACAACATTGTAGTTACTCCATAATTCTAACCTAAATTACATAGTGAAAAGAAGGAAGCTTGTACAGAACAAAACATATTCCAAACCATGCATTCTGTTCGTAATAAGGCACTAAAGTAAAACTGCAAAAAATGTGCCAAAGAAATTAACTTTATGTCCTGAATACAAAGCGTTATGTTTGGGCCAAATCCAACACATCACTGAGTACCACTCTTCATATTTTCAAGCATGGTGGTAGCTGCATCATGTTATGGGTATGCTTGTCATCAATGAGGACTAGGGAGTTTTGTAGGATAAGAAGAAATGGAATAGAGCTAAGCACAGGCAAAATCCTAGAGGAAAACGTGGTTCAGTCTGCTTTCCAACAGACACTCAGAGACAAATTCACCTTTCAGCAGGACAATAACTGAAAACACAAGGCCAAATATACACTGGAGTTGCTTACCAAGACGACATTGATTGTTGCTGAGTGGCTTATTTACAGTTTTGACTTAAAACGGCTTGAAGATCTATGGCAAGACTTGAAAATGGCTGTCTAGCAATGATCAACAACCAACTTGACAGAACGTAAAGAATAAAAAAAGAAATAATGTGCAAATATTGTACAATCCAGGTGTACAAAGCTCTTATAGACTTACCCAGAAAGACTCACAGCTGTAATCGCTGCCAAAGGTGATTCTAACATGTATTGACTCAGGGGTGTGAATACTTATGTAAATGAGATATTTCTGTATTTCATTTTCAATAGATTAGCAAAAATGTATAAAAACATGGTTTCACTTTGTCATTATGGGGTATTGTGTGTAGATAGGTGAGGGGGGAAAAAACAATTTAATCAGTTTTGTATTCAGGCTGTAACACAACAAAATGTGGAATAAGTCAAGCGGTATGAATACTTTCTGAAGGCACTGTATTATTATTATTATTGTTACATAACTGTAGGTTGATCTAAAACACTTATCCATGTGAAGGTAGGAGCTCAGAGATCAAAGAGAAAAACACACAGATAAGCATGTGTGCCTTTGGTAATGATTGAGTGTACCAGAGTAAAAACGTGTTATTATTTATTTCTCTCTCATCCTGGATGCTGAACCAGGATCGACAAAAGAAATGAGAAGTCTATTTGGCTGACGTAATGACTCTGGGCGCGCTGTCTTGTGTCCACCCTGAAGGCTCTTGGGGCATCGGG